CATTGTTGAAATAAAAGAAGCAAAATTAATGCCCACAAGGTGTTTGCTAAAATGCCTAAGAGAGTAAATTTGAACACCGGTGAAGTCTAAGTAGCCGAGTGTAGTTGTATATGATTTTGGGCGAAGTGTGGGGTGTTTGAGGGCGTGGTAACTTGTTGTAAACTATTGTAAGTCGTAGATAGTGTACTAAATTAGTGTAGTAATGTAGACTTTAGCTTTGATATGCTTGCACCATAGTTAAGCCATGTTAGACTAATTGAATTGTATGGCATAGGGAAGTCTTGAGTACCTATAGCCTTGTGATGACACATTGGTGCATGTTGAGCCAATATTGTGATTCGATTATGCATAGCCTTCGGTTTTAATTGTGGGGTCCCCTCTTCCCCTCACGATGACCTTAGGCGAAATTTCTTGATTCACTCTCATCTTTGTGTTTGTCATGTGTAGGTTGCTATGGCTCGTGACAGTGCCGCTAAAGGAAAAGGGGTGGGTTAATCCTCCACTACTGCTCCCCCTCCAAAGAAACGCAAGCAAGGCGAGAGCTCTTCCCGACAAGCCAAAGGAAAACAAGTGGCTAGCGGGTCTACGAAGCAATCACGGCCTCGGGTGGAACTTGTAAGAGATGACGCCAAGAAATGGCATGATACTTTTGTTCCATACGGGAGATATGTGTCTGAAATGGGGATAAATGTGAAGGCCTTAGAACGGAGCTTCCCAGATGTACTTGCTACATTGATCGACAAGAAGATGGATAAGCTCCTTGAATGTCCGGGCCCCGCAAATCTAAGCATAGTCAGATAGTTATATGCATACTGGGACACAAAAGAGGATGAGTCATGGGTCAAAGGAAAGAAAATTCCAATGGATAGGGAGGCCTTGTGTTGCTTTTTGGGAGTTGATAGCCCGAACCTACGAAGGCTTCGAAAGTTTGTCAAAAGCCTGCGCTACCAAGCAATATGTCACACACTTTGTGGCATTGATTCAAATGCAAAGTGGACGCGGACTAAGGTAGATATTCACCTTGAAATGCTCCGGTTTGACTTCAACAAGACGGCTAAGGTTTGGCAGAACTTTGTGTAGGCTAGATTAATGCCAGTGGAACATAATAGTGAGTGCACTCGAGCTCGAGTGTGCGTGATCTACTTTTTGATGACCAGGCACCCCATAAATGTGGTTGAGCTCATGCTTGGGGAGATGGCCCGCACCCATTTCGGAGGGAGGATCAAAAGGTTCTTTTTTGGAAACATCCTGACACGGTACATGCTATCTCGTGGAGTACCAGAGTACCCTGGCTATGATGAGGTAGTGGAGGCACCCAAGGCATTGCTAGACATCACATCCTTGCTAGAGTCCACATCATTGCTAGCCCCTTTGAGCCTATAGAATAAAATTTTCCATTGCTAGGCAGACTCCGACTAGCAGGGAGTTCTTTCTTTCCACCTTACTCTATTTTTGAATTTCTTATGCATCGGGGACTATGCATTGTTTAAGTGTGGGATGGGGGAATAATCCTTGAACAGTAATTGTGTAGAAAAAATTTCTTTTTTTTTTGGTGTTACTGATTTGTTTTTTTGTTAGTCACCTCTTAGCTTAGTTTAAGACTAACATATTTTAAATTAGCTAGATTACAAAAATAAAAAAATTAAAAAAAATCAGAAAAAGCTTGGACTTATTCCGATGATGGATCTGTTGGACAATTTTCTTGAGGGATTAAAGTCCGATTAAAAATACCAAAAAGATTTTCTTTTTTTAGGTAGTTAGGTAGTATCCCTTGGTTTTTCTTTCGACACCGATTCTTTTCCAAGGGTGTAGCTCGAACCGGGTATTCTAGTTTAGTTTTTTTTTCTTAGGAGTAGGATAAGGGAGAAAACTGAGATTTCTCTGAGGGACCTATTGACATGTTTGGTGTTGGCAAGTTAAGTTATGGCATGCGCTCTGTCTTCCTGCATATATAATTTAAATTGTAATGCCCAAGTAAAGTAAGTAGCCTACTCTGTGACGCCTTTTTCTCAGTTGACTGACTTGTATGCCACCTAGTGCATTGTTCCTTAAAAATTCTCGACTTGATATGCTTTCTTGACTTGAGAGTCGCACAGAACCTTCTTGAGTGAGTCAACTGCCATGTGTGTGTAAGGATTGTTGATATTCTGTGCTATCCTGTGTAGTCTAGAACTTGCTTTGTGTGTTAATCAACGCGAAATCATTAAGTTGTGCTAGTCTAGGAGATGACGTAGGCGTTTCTTGCTTGACCATGAAGGTGCTTGTCACTGACAAATAAAATTTTCCATTTGCTAGCCCCTTTGAGCCTATAGACCGTTTCCTTGGCACCCACATTGCAAGCCGTACTCCTAATTTGTTCTTGATTCGAGATTGTTGAACCTTTACCTCCTAAGGCACTTAGTCACTAAAATAAGTAAAGGGAGAGATTGGGGAGTTACTTTTGAGTGGAACCATGGGAAGTCCCTTAAGGTGCACTAAAATTGTGAATAAAGGTCACTAGCTTATGAACTTCAATGCATGGAGTGTGTGAAGAAAAAGAAAAAGAAAGGAAAGAGAAAAAAAATAAGAGAGAAAAAATGTTTGCAAGAAAAAGCAAATAAAAGGTCAAATAATGTAGAAAGATACACACCTCCTAATCTTTCTCACTCGTGCTAGTGAATCCATAGAGGTGCTTAATTGAAAGAGGGCTATGTTATATATGGTGTATGACAAGTGAATGGGTTGAAAAGAAAAGGTGTTTGATTTGTGAGTGTAGTGTATTAAAGTGCTTAGGAGGGTTAGCCACTATTCCTAAATATATCCTACCCGTCCCTTAACCTACATTACAACCTTGAAGTCCTAATTGATCCTAGATTTGGCTAGCTTAGATTAGAAGAGATATACACTATGGGCAAGCTTATGGTACGACCACGGGAGGCACATGAACTCTTTGTGAGAGTGATTGAATTTTGTTCAATTGTGTTATGTCCTTAAATTATGTTCAATGACATATCTGAATGTATGGACTACTTTGATATTCACTCTTTTGTTTGTGGTGAGGGCACTTGGTCTCATGACGAATTGGTGATGTTGTACACTTTCTTTTGTTGGTTGAGTGCGTGAGTTGAGGATGTTTAGTATAACGAGTCGTCTCTTGAGGTAAGGTGGTTGTGGAGAGGTTGCTTGAGTTGGTTGAATAGCATTGTATATACTTGGGCTAGTTTGAAAACGGGAAGAATGTGAAATTCGCGTGTTCATGCTTAATTGCCGATATCGATCGTATCTAAAGGTAGGGTGTTTGACTGAATTAATTGTGAAGTGCTATTTCATAGTGATAAGTATGTTTTGGGGGATTAATATAGTTTCATTGCTCGAGGACGAGGAAGAGTCTAAATGTGGGGTATTGATAATCGGCTTAATGTATGTATATTTTGATCTATATCGCCTCGCATTTGGCTCATGTATTGAAGATTTGAGATGTATAATATGATGATTTGTGCTCATTTGTGGTATTTCTATGTGTAGGAATCATTCGGATGCAATTTGGGAAGGAACAGCGCGAATTAGAGCGAAATTGGGAAGAAAAAGCAAAAACTGAAATTTGAGGGCCACAACCAGCGTGGGGCGCTAGCTGTGGCGCAATTTATAGAAGAAAAATATTTTGGGCGCCAGGGCCAGCGCTCCATGCTGCCCTGGACGCTCGGAACGTAAAGTTGTCTTGTTTCGACTAGGACTCGATTATTTTAACCCTAAGACGCCCCCAACTGATATAAAAGCCAACCAAAGCCTATTTTGAAGAGGGTGACGTGACTTTGAGAGGAGAACAAAAGAGCCAAACACTCGGGAGCACGGATTTGATCAATTCTTCCATTCCTTTTCTAGTACTCATTGATTTTATATTTGAAAACCTTATTTTTGATGATTGTATGAACATGAGTGGCTAAGAACCTTATTGTTCTAGGGTCATGGGTGATACATGAATGTTGATGTTTGATGTTTAATTTGACGAAGTTGATTTTATCATATTGGGTTGTTTATTTAATTCTGTTTTTAATTATTTTGCTGAGTAGCTAAAAGTGAAATACTATCTACGAATCTAGAGTTGAACTCGAAAGTGGAAACTCTAGATTGCATATAGAATTAAATAGAGCAGGTTCTTGACCCCGGGCATCGGGGAACGGATTCACAATTAGGATAGACATATAGGTATTAACTTAACAGCTCATGTCCTCATCTTGCATTACTTGGTTTTTGAAGGATCCCTGCTTCCTCTTTTTCTGCTTGACATGTGGATATGATGGGTTCTCATTCAGTTTGTGGGCCATCACCTCCGGTGGTATACCTGTCATATCTGAATGCGACCAAGCAAAGCAATCTGCGTTAGCTTTTAAAAATTCAATTAACTTACCTTTCATTTCTGGGCTTAGGTTTGCTCCGATATAAACTTTTTTATCTGGCCAGTGTTTAAATAGCACCACCGCTTCGAGTTCTTCGGTAGTTGTCTTGAGGTTTTTCATTTTCTTCTAGCTCTTGAATAACATCATGTCTCGAATCAACATCAATTTGTCATGGAATTTCTTCAGTTGAGGTTTGTATTACTACATCCTCAACTACATTCTGTAGCTGCTATTTCTCGCCTGCAACATCATTTACCGTGCTTGTAGCCACCACTGAATTGATATTTCTAGAAGCTTGTTGATCTCCATGGATTTGACGAATCCCCCACTGTGAAGGAAATTTAATAAGTTGATGCAATGTGGACGGTACAGCATCCATATCGTGAATCCATAGTCTTCACAGAATTATATTATAAGCCATGTCTGTATCTATCACTTGAAACTTTGTGTCCTTGATAACCCTCTTTGCAAACGTGGTAAGCACTACTTCCCCTTTTGTGATAACGCTTGAATTATCAAATCCAGACAAAGATCGTGCCTTTGGTATCACCTCGTTGTTAGCTTGCATTTCATTCATCACCCTTAGTAGAATGATATTCACGGAACTACCTGGGTCAATCAAAACTACTTTACGTTAGTATCGTGTACAAGTAGAGATATTATCTGTGCGTCATTGTGAGGAATCATCAAGTCGTCTGCATATTCATCATCAAATGTTATATTGTCTCCGTCCAAGATTTGGCGAACTCGCTTCCCATGAGTGATTGTGACTTTTGACGTCTTTTTTGCAGCTGTATACGTCAAACTATTGACCTCGTCTCCCCCAGTTATTACATTGAATGTTCTTTTTAGAGATAGGGGTTTCGGGGGTTCTTGTCTATTCTTCATACACGATTGTGTGCCTTTTTCACTGAACAGGTCAGTTAGATAACCTTGTTTCAACAAGTGCTCGACTTCCTCCTGTAGTAACCTACAATCTGTTATTCTATGGCCATGATCGTTGTGAAATTCACACCAAAAATCTAGATTTCTTTTGCTCGGGTCTGATCTCATCTCTTTAGGCCATCTCACCTTATCTCCCATACCTTTTAAAACAGCCACTAACTCGGAGGTGCTGACATTAAAACTGTAATCACCGACCCTCGCATGTTTATTGGAGTCGTTGCCTCGTGTATCCAGTTCCTTTCTGAATCTAGATGAAGAACCCGCATCTTTTTTCCTTGATCTTGATTCAGATCGTGAGTTTTCTTGTTTAGACCGAGAATCTTGACCTGCAAGACCCGTGTAAGGCTCGTACCTATTTTTCCTGGTCTTTTTTTCTGATTCTGAGTGTCTCGACCCTGCTCTTTCATCAACCATTGGTTGTACAACCATGTTTTCTTCTATCTGTAGCTTCGTGTTGTATCTATTGTATACGTCATTCCAAGTTGTTGGTGGAAATTCTCGCAAACTTTCCTTCAGTCTCCTCATGGCTTCTGAACTTTTCTCGTTTAGATTTCCCGCGAATGCCATGGCTGCCCAATTGCCAGGTACTCGTGGTAATATCATCCTCTCCCGTTGGAATCTATCCACAAACTCTCTGAGTAATTTTGTGTTTCCTTGTTTTACCTTAAAGATGTCTTCCATCCTTTTTTCAACTTTCTGAGCTCCCGAATGTGCTTTTATAAATGAATGTGCAAGCTCAGCAAAAGAATCAATAGAGTTCTCAGGTAAGAGAGAATACCACGTTAATGCTCCTTTCGTGAGTGTTTTACCAAATTTTTTAACCAAGACTGATTCGATTTCTTGCTTGGTTAAATCATTACCTTTCACGCCAGTTGTGAATGCGGTTACGTGATCTCGAGGGTCAGTTGTTCCGTCATATTTGGAATATCAGGCATTTTAAACTTCTTAGGAATAGGTGTTGCACTTGGATTCCAGGGTGGTTGTGAATATTTATCAATATCTACTCCGTTAATCACGGGAGGTACGCCAGGTATTTGCTCTATAAGATCATTTTGCTCTTTCAACTGTTTTTGCAAAGTTAGTACCAAACTTTGTAAATCAGAATTATTTGGTGTACCTGACCTTCCATCATGAGATCCGTTGGGAGCTCCTCCACTTCCAGAATTGGCAAGTCCCGAGCGTGGGTTTTCCAGGGTTGCGGTATTGTTTGGTGGAGGAGTTTGTGGTGCAGTTGGCAATCCCCTAACAAAGGCCTAAAGAGCACTATTCACATGTTCGGCTATCAATTGCTTTAATGCGTCTTGTTCGACAGTCTACTCGTCCCCTTGATGATCATTCACGTGTGACGTTGATCTTTCAGGTGATCCTTCACGTGACTGTTGAGGAGATCCTTGTGGAGAGAGAAGTGGTGGAGTTGCTCCCTCCATTGGGTTCAGCTGGTTATTTTCGTTGACAGTTGACATAATTAGTTGTTAGAAAGCGAATTTGGAAAGTGAAAAGATTATCAGATTCCCGGCAACAGAACCAATTTGTTTAACCAAAAAAATAGATTTCTCAGTCACAGTCTAAATTTAGAAGAAGTCGGGCTATTGATAACCAGATTTTGCTTCACTTTCACAATGATATTTAAGAAAAATAATAAAAATGGTAGAGAAAATTGGTTAAAAGAAATAAGGAATAAATTAATGGTCAATTCCTAAAATCAAGGCTGAAAACTTCGATAAAGCGGAGAAGTATAGAATATATTTCAATAATACTTGAAATTTGTCCTTACAAATAAAATTATGTACCCTTATATAGGAGTGTACAATCATAACGGTTTTATCATGTAATTTGAGTTTATTATGGGCATTAATTGTATTGATTGTCCATTACCACTGATAGCTGTAATTGGTGTATTTATTGCTATAAATGCCTTATAACTATTCCGATTCCCCTTCCTTATTTACTTCTAGTTCATGTATCCTCCCTTCTTTTGATCCATATTCATTCCGTCCACGCCTCTTCTTTGACAATTGTCTGGCCCGGTTCTTTTCTCTATACTGTCTCGTGGGTGTTTTTCTCATGCCTTCCTCTCTCATTTAATTCTATTAATTGAGAATGCCACTTGTCGATATATCACTGCTTCACGCGTCATGCTTCGTCAGCATACTAACATTCCATGTGTAATGCTTTCTTTCCACCAATACAAGTAACTTGAGGCAATATTTCGTCTAAAGGTAAATAAAGCAGAACAAATTTTCCTCGTCTCCACATCTTTGCGTCGTGAAAGAATCTTAGATCAGATAAATGGGATTTAGGGAGGAAAGTGAATTATATGAACAAACGTACAAAGTGTATCCAATTTTATTCTCTTCTTGATTTTTTAACTTTATATATTTAGGTGTCGTAAGCCTTCACTGTGACAAACTTCTAGAACATGATGCAACTTGTGGCAGTTAGATATCATCTCATAAGTTGCAGCAACTAGAAACAGGGCTGTTCATCATCGGTCCGGTACGATTTTGGCATATTTTCTTGAGTATTTGATTTCTTAAAATGCTATACCAATACTAAGAGGCAAGTTAACAGCACGATGAGTTTAGCATAAACGTGCTTAGTTGCTTAGTTAGCAGAATGAGCTAGTCCAGGATTGAGTATCAAGCTGTACATAAATACCATAGTTTGTAAGGTCATTTCAGTACTGATCCAGTGACTGAATTTCTACTCTGGAACAAGTTCCCCGAGTCAACAAGCTGAGTTCTCAAGCTACCTAAGCTCGCTAGCTAATCTTGTTCGCCGAGTCAACAAGCTGAGTTCTTGAGCTACCTAAGCTCGCTAGCTAATCTTGCTACACGGTACGCAGAAATTTTAGGGCCGCACTTAGATACCGGGCAAGTGCACATATGGCCATTCTCAGGGATGTTATTTAGAGATACTTATTGTCTTGAAATTTTAAACCAACAATCTTAACTTCACTGGCTAATTTCTAAATAGCAGCCCTCTAAAGTGGCTACCTGGTGTCATTTCTACCTAACATAACAGTGGGCAAAAACGGCCAGATTGGCACCTTTTTTGCAAGGGCTCTCTCTGCTCATCATACTCTTAAGGAAAATACTACTGCTACTGCTACTATAATATGAATTTACCAGTTTAGCAGTTCATTTATCAGAGAGAATGAGACTAATGCAACGCCTGACACAAATATTGTGCCCTCCTTTTAAAGAAACAAAAATGTCCACCTCTGGCCGATGCATCAAGTGTATATAAGCACATCCTTAACAAAAAGTGTAAAAAATCATACATGTCCAACTATTTATTATTTTATCTCAATTTGTACTCTGATATGGCAGTAACAGAACCCACTCCATAACCAAAATGGAGCAATACAACTCCCATAAGTTTTCAAATACAAATTGTTGCTTGCGCCAAATTTTGTAGTAGCTCCTATCTTGTATTTCAATTGGTGGCTGCTACCAACGCCATGTGCTCTATGAGGTCCAACACTCGGTTGCTGCAAAGGTTTAAAGTCCAGTAGAACCTTGTCAGTTCTGTGCTATAGGGGTATGGACAAGTTTTCAAGTTTATTTTATCACTGCTCCTTTTCTTCTTTTTTTTTTTTTTGGGGGGGGGGGGGGGGGGTTTGTAGTAAAGACTAAGTTCATACCT